TACTCAAAAAACAACAGACGAACTGATTTGACATTACTGCCATAATCGACCTTAAACAACGTGTCAATTTGGCATAGATCAACAAGTTCAGAAACGGAAAACGTATAAGACAAATCCTATTACCGTAACCCCATTCTGCTCAAAGAAATGTGTTTGGGAACCCGAAAATGTTCGCTTGACGGGAATTGGTTCTTTATGTGCAATGTAATTAACGGGAAGTACGTTACAGTAGTCTGCACCAGAATAACAAAGTTTCAGATGTACCCAACATTTTAGCCGGCTTGTTTAAGTGTGCACCGGGGTTTTTTGTGGCTTGCGTGACGTCGGTAGTCCAAAAAATCAGTACCCTAGTATAACCATGAAAATAAAGGGAGAGCGTGGTGAATCTTTCTCCTCGCCCAAGTCAACAGTAAAAATTATTTTTAGTACTACATGCATAATCTCTCATGGAGTGGAACAAGGAGAAGCAATGATAAATAGTGAAACTATCTCAACCATCGATCCATCGTGCATCGACCCATTTATCAATGGGACAATACGTATCGCAGCCTGACATTTACCGATGTAGGCTGTAATTCGTGCTCCCTGGGCCAGACAATCAGCCAATAAAGCAAAGTTCACTAGTGAGACAAGACAGCGTATCGGCATTGCCTATGCTCCCTGTCTCAACCTGACGATCGATCGGTTAATAAGATTTGTTGGCGCTGGGCATGGTCTGTTAGGTGTTTCCCTTTTTCAAACGAACCAGCTGTAGTGAAAACCAAAATGTACCTTATTTCTACTTTTCAAAGGTTTTATTTTCCCACTTGAAGATTAAAATGTATTTGGATATATGTTTGCTAAAACCCCGATTAAATGATTGCTTCTGTTATAACAAACAAGATTAGATTTCTTTAGGTTGAGAAGGCATTATAAACACAAAGCAACCTATCATCTCGGAAAATGTTTCAGCTGCGGCATTATTTAATGTGTGATGCATCCAGAGGATTCAATCAGGGACTGGCATCCTGACTTAATTGCGACTCAGTTGGTAATCTTTGTTTCTGCCAGTTGGTTTATGGACCATAAGCACGCAAGACTGGACCGCGTGAAGCCACGCCTGATCTTCCAGTCATAGGGCTTCATCTAAGGAAAGGATTCTTAGTTAATGAAGAAACATTGGTCCTCTTGCAGTGATCGAAAACGTCGTTTACACAGAACCACGCTATAACTAATTGTTCTGTGGCTATTCTCGACAGCACAATTTTCGTTCACTTGTCGATGTTAGAAACTATAAGGAGCGAAGGCATAAACAACAACAGAACTCTTAAAGCATTTGGACTAATGAACATGGCTTCATGAGGAAGAAGTGACTCGGAATTTGATGGAACTGAGAAATGCCGAATGCTTTGGCTACGAATTCGTTCACAATGACGTCAGAACAGTGTTCTCTTTCCTGGTCGGCAAAACTGTGCAGCAATAATTTTGGGCTGAACGTTTGTGAAATAGGACAGAGGATGAAACACATGGGGTTGAATGCAAATGAACTTTTTAAACTTCTGCATTGAACTGCTGAGTAATATATTACTTATCCGGGAGAAAAGATACTACTAGGAAGACGGGTTTTCTGACCCTCTGTCCATGAGGGTTTTAAACTAATTATTATCTGACAGAAATGGCCGCCGTGACCTTTCTAGGAGTATTATTTCTCCTAAGTCGTTTCTTATTTTCTCTAGCTCAGGAAGTGTTTTCATCCTCTGGCTTCTACGTTTCCTCTTCGAAAGAAATCTACTTGTGAATCTCACAGGCTACCTCAAGAACCTTCCTAATATGTGAAGTTTTTCCGTCCACTTAGCTTATTTCGACGCTCCAACAAATTCATTGCGATGGGGCTGTACCGTGATTCATACCATTATCATAATTCTGTGTTTCACTTAGTATGGACAGCTTTATAAAAAAAATTCACTCGAGTAGCCAACCGACGGTAGTCAAACGAACTTTGGCGCAACTAGTTGAGCCGACTCCTATTTGATCAACTTACATAAATACTTCGTTAGAGGCTAAACGGCGCGTTCTTCAGAGTTGCACGCCTTAGTGCACACAGAGTATGTCTAAAGTATGCTCTAATCAGATGTGAATTCTCTCTGTGTGTGGCCTGGCTACAATTTGCTATCTGGGATGGCATGATTGCAATACAACAATGTATTGGAAAACCAAATACAACCACAAGTATTATCAAACACAACGTCACATTTCATCGTGGGAACCCAGCCAATTCGTATACCAGAGCGAGCAAATAGGCTTCAAGTACTTTGGATATTTATCGCTTCAAAGGCCGCCATCTTGGGTTTTCCGCCCTCTTATGATCTTTCGTGATCACATGCTCATTCACATTCGTTCATAGATGTTTCCGATCCCAGGATTCCGATGGCTCATTAAATTGGCTCCTCCAGCTTGTGCTCCTCACCACAGTTTATGGAAAAATTGACAGTTGCGCAACAGAGCGTTTACACACTTTATAAGTGTAATAAGTGGCACAGGCTAGGCAGTTTGAGGTTTAATAAATCAATCCAGTGACGCAAATAGCCGGAGGTTTCGTGTAGTGTGCTCATTCTGAATCCTTGCCAGAAATATCACACAGTGCGAATGTCACGCTAGGTAGTGCTGACAGCTGTATCTAGGTTAATGGTATATTGGTTTACTATCCAGCCGTGAAATGACTTAAGTGGAAAGACAAATAACTTCCATAATCATCTGGGTTTGATCTGCTTAGGCCTGTAGCAACATTAGAAGAACAAAATCGTTGACTCTGACTAACAGTAACTGGAAGTGCTCCCCAAATGTCTCATGCAGTGACAGAAAATTTCACATTTTCTGTTTGTTTTGTTTTTGCTCAAATATTGTATGCAAGTATTCCACCACTGAGCTTTAGTATCACCGCAAATTCCTTTGTTGTGCATTAGGCAAACGAAAGTACACTCTGTTGGTTAAGTAGTGACACCTGGAATGCCTTTATGTTGTGGTTTCACCACCACCAATCTAAAAATATTGCTTGTTGGACGCCTGTTGCTGCGGCACATCGTTGCAATTTCACCCATTCGCGCAGAACGGCCCATAAGGCTTATAGGCAAACGGTTCATCAGTCAGTGTCGATGTTCTCTGGAGTTTGCAACCCATCCCTCATGCTGGGCAAAGATATCAAAAACCATGTGACGCGCACAAACTGCCTATATTGCGTAACAGTTCCACAAATAAACCAAATTAGCATTAAGTTCCGGTGTCTCAAGATGTCTCCAACTTCTGTCTATGCACTGCATAGCCTGTTATCTACTCTGTGGCAAATTTGTGAAAGCCATCCCTGATTTATCGTATGGCAATGAGTAGGATTATTAGCAATTTCAGTGCCAAGTATTAAACATGTACAAAGGATATCAGCTTCGGTAGGAGATTGCTCGTGTGGAGTGTCATTTTATCTGCTAAGTGAAAAGATAGCAATGTTGAATACTCAGTGAAACTCTGGTCTGTAAATCATGACAGTGAAATACATACCATGCTTACTTGTTACCACAACGGATCAACGCAGTTATACACGCTCTAACTCTGACACGAATGGGCTTCCTTTTTTGTTGAGTTAACCAGCATGTAGCCATGATCTTCTCTAGGTTGAGTAAAATAACACAGCGAGTGAACAAAATTATGGATGTCTACGACACTAGAACTAGTCATTACTTAAACAAGAGTGGATCAGATTCAGTTAAACTAATCAGGAATCATTCTTGAAGTTCTTAAGGTCAAAAGAACGGAACATGTCGTCAATTTATCTTTTGCGGGGACGCGATAATTTTTTCGCACTCATCTTATTCTACATGTTTTTGTGTCACTTGATTTGGGACGTTTGGATTAATTCTGAGCTTAATTTCTGATGATATCTGTGATGCTGTGAGAAAATTCACTCAACTCTTTTTACTGAGAGTGCAGCTATGGTGGAAACACGAGTGTCTCTAAACTTCTGTCGTTAGATTTATTTTCAGTTTTTGCCTGGGAATTCGGCGAAATAAGTCGGTAGTGGGATCGATTTTTCCACGAACTTGCCAGTGTTAAAAGCAAGTAGCAGAGCGTCATATGTACACCGACACAAACATTCAACCCAGACCCACGTGCACAGGTGTGTGAATTGCTACGTGCACTTTTTACGAATAATATATATGGGATAAGAGGCACTGACGAGGGGGACGTTACTTGTAGACACTGTCACTGTTTCGTTTTTCAGGTCAGGTGCCCCGTTCTTCAAACTTACCAGTAAATGAATGAACTGATCTCGCTGTTGGACAGATCCCCTTACCCGCTCTTAGGAAGAATGTTGCTGAAACAGGACATTTAGACGTGCCACTTCCCAAAGTGAAGAATAGTCGGTTTCCTGAATTGCGTCGCATGACCGACTGAAAAAAATGCTTTCATAAAATTCCGCTTAAATCACCTTCTGAATGAAAGTAAACAGAAAACCTTGTCAGTGATGAGTATAGGACCAGAGGGTGTCCGTCAGAGAGTTACTGTGAACGTTCATTTTCTTCCTAAACTATGGGCGAAATCAGTTGATTATTCAGAGAAGCACTGAGACCGTAATGCCACAACGAGTTGAGAGACAACGGAAGTATGAGTCTGTAGAAGCCCTGAGTTCAGCCTCATATCAGCATCACCCGGAGGCTGTCTTTTGTTTAACTATGGTCAACACTCAGTGGATGCCTACAAACGATAAGCGAAAAGGTTTTAGTGCCAAATTTCATCATTCGTCTGCGTAAGACTGGTGGAAGAATCACAGATTTCGTCATCATCGACAGCATGACATCAGTGTTCAACACCGACGCTTCGCTGCCGTACAATCATGATTTATTGAAAGCCTATTGTGAAGAGAAAAAAGGTGGACTTGGAAGGGACTTAGTGATGGCTCACTACAATCATTCCCAGATGTCTACACCTCCAAACACTCATTCAGGCAATCGGGATAGAAACTGACAACAAGGTCAGCACCGATATCGGTTAGAAGCCATATCTTTCAACGTCTTCAACCAGGCACAGTGAGGAGCACGTGGTCCCCATCCTGGAGGGTGAGTAGCACCGACAGCATCAAAACGTTTCGTGATTTCTTCTATACCCCTCTGCCAGGTAAAGGGTTGGCCACCTCTTTGCTTCCGCCACTCTGGTGATAATAATAATAATAATAATAATAACGGGAATTATGAATCGTTCTCAAATCGTGGCTTTTTTCCATAGCAAATGAAAGAATTCAACTGGCTTTCGGAGGATGCAGGATGATGTCAGTAATTCTGCTGCTCTGATTAGCAAAAAAAACATGAATAATAATGTAACATATTCAAAAAATAATAGCAAAAACTTCCCTGGTCATTTGGTGGATATTGGACTCTCAGGAATTGGTCAGCTTGGAATAAGTTAGTAGAAACAGTTTACCAGCGTTCTCAACAGTAGTGTAAAGCTGAGAAGAGAACGTTTCATCAAACAATCACTGATATAAAGCAGCAATTCAGAGAACATTCCCAAAAAAGCAAACAGTTTGGTTGCCAAGACCTAAATTTGTCGGGAATAGAGTCTCTGAAAATTGAGAGACCCTACTATATCAAACACCTTATACGAGAAATAGTGAAGCATAGTTCGGGTATCTATTCTAGTCTTTCTAGTGATGAATGGTAGGGGTTATCTATCCGGATTTCGTCGGATTCAAACAGGGTAGATTTGGTTGGATCTCAAAAGGTTCGGGCGCATCGTGTTTTTATCTCTATTGAGACCAATCAGGCGAGTGCAGAGGCGATTTGTCAAGTGACTCTTGAGGTAGGGGAGTAGTCTGTGAACCTGATGTTAATATGTCCCCAACTAGTCTAGTTCAGCTTGTGTATTTGAATTCTTATTCTGGCGAGACGTGACGTCCCATTTTGGCGGTTCATATGTTAAGGTGGTATGCCATTTTGGATGGTCATTATATAGGGCCAGCTGTGTGAAAGGCACGATGAGTTACACACAAAGACCGCTGTACCACAGGCAACATCTGGGGCAATACAACATACAAGTATTTAAGACAAAGTAATGCATACATATACTGCAACTTCTACGGCCGCTTTCGTAATGGAAGAAGATCGACACGATGGATCAGCACAGAGATAGCTCATTTTGGTAGCTCTGCCTTTTGAGCACCCGCATTGCCTTGCGAACCGTCCTATGATACACAGTTAACGGAAACCTAATAATCTTGTCAGTTTGATGGGCAATGTCTACATGGTTGCTATTCAAGTTGATGTTTGTAGTAAACTGGGTCGTTTGCAGACGAGGCCACAGCGCATCAATCACCCAGGGATTGAAACCGTGATCCTGTTCTTAGGGGTATAAAATTCAGCACGTTTTTCACCGACTCAGTCTTTTTTGTTTAAAGGGCACATCTGTTCATGCCATCTTCAAACGTTTACTGAGAATCGGACAGGTGGTTCGGATGATTGCTGTTTCCCTGACAAGCGGACGTCCTAAGGTGTTACTTTCACAGCTGGTCTGTCAATTGTGGTCAACCGGTATGGTGTCCCCTTATTAGTGGAAGGGTTGCCCTTTTGAATGCTCTAACGTGAAGTGTGAACTGTTGATCACTTCGAATCAGTATTCAGTGCTTCCCAAACTCTTAGCATTGATTGAGCGCAGTCTAATTGTGAAATAACGGTCAAAACATTATGAAATGATCCTTTGCATAATTCCGATACGTAATTCCAGCCAGGTCTGACAGTCTGATAGGATTATTACTTAAATAACTAACAGACCGTCGCAATTTTCACTTTTATGATACTTAAAATGTGCTGTGCAGTCAGAATTTTCTACCATGGGTTGTCTACTACAGGTAAAATCTCAAAAGAACACACTAGAACAAATAAAGCCTGTGCTGGGTTTAAGGGATGCCTACACACCCATTCTGTTTTCCACTTGAATGGATAACCATTACGCCTCCTATTGTTTCAAACTTGTTCAGAGCCTGCAGAATTCCAACATACCCCGGTTGAGGAGTCTATCTGGGACTCAGAATGTTGTGGGTAGTTAGTTCTGTGCATTTCGTGCTTCAGAACGCATAATAATGACATTTTTTTCTTTCTGTTCACTTTTGCTTTACTTCAAATGACTTTTTGAAATTAAGGTGTGGAGGCCGGAGAAACTGCGTGCAAACTGGCTAGGAAATGGGCCTACAAAGTAAAAGGCGTTCCAGACAACGAGGCGCGCATTGTATTTGCAGAGGGGAACTTTTGGGGCCGCACACTAGCGGCTGTCTCTTCGTCTACGGATCCTAGCTGTTTCCAAGGCTTTGGGCCATACATGCCCGGTTTCGACCTTGTCCCATATGATGATTTGAAGGCACTGGAGGTGAGTAACCCTGATGTATTTGCGTGGGAATGAGACTGGTGAGCAGAATATTGAAGGTCATTTGGATTGCAACCTATAAGTTTTTCCTTCTAAAGCTACTTATTAAGAAGTACTTTTATCTTTTTTTCAGGAAAAGCTGAAGAATCCCAACGTTTGCGCGTTTATGGTGGAGCCTATTCAAGGTGAAGCAGGAGTTCGAGTCCCTTCAGATGGATACTTGAAGGGCGTTCGTCAGTTGTGCGACAAATACAATGTGTTGTTCATCGCTGATGAGATTCAAACTGGACTGTGTCGAACAGGGAGGCAAGTGTGGGCTATCTATCATTGATAGCCTTCTTCTCCAGGGTTCTGTCATATAGTTTATACTGCGAAGATCGTGTAGAATGACCATTGACAAGATTAGTCGCGATTCGTCACCCAAAAAAGATCGGCTTTGCAGAGGATGTGATACGATAGTTCACATGGTCGTGGCAGGAACGGTCGGTCGCCAAGCGGTGGTCAGTGTGAACGGATACGGTCCAAGTTTCAGCCCACTGTAGTTAGCAGTGATTTCAATACTCTCGATAAAACCGTACATAAGGAAGACTGAACCTTTACATATTCGAATCCCAGCTTTTTGGGAAGAACGAAGGGCAAGATTCTACAGCATGTTTTATAAAGTTGCCATCTGATACACCGGGTTAATAGGAAATAGGATGCATGGCTAAACCCTGTACGGTGTCGTTTTACATTTGGTATCATGAGTCACTTCAAGGCACAAAGCTGGACGTATATAAACATGTTTCGGTTCCCCCCCCCCATTTACGCGCGCCTGCTACTACCGCTACTGCTAATACTACCATTATTAGTAACATTCCTTTGATTACACTGCTGCTACCCGAAGGAAGCACTGGGGCTGTGGTACTGCTAGGTTGCCTAATTCATGATCGGATCAATCGAGTTTGAGAGGCTGTAAACTTTGGTCAGTAAAATAACGCTTTAAGCACTGAACTGTCTTGAGCTTGCTTCTGCTGGTAACCTCTTGCTTCATGGATCGATCGAGTGTTTCTTTCTTCTCCAGTTCATTGGTGTGGACACTCCAGTCAAGAGTGTGTCCCTCACAAAAGTGGCGCATCCTATGGCAGACATAACAAAATATGTATTCGAATAACATTGTTCACTACCTACATAAACACAGTATTTTGTGACACTGCGAAATAATTTGGGTAAAAAAGGTTATTACTCACCAAGGGTTGTCTCTAATTTTACTTCTGGCCCCCATTGCCCTCAAATCATATTCCTCTAATTTTATAACCTACGCAACAAAGGACTAGGAGAGTATGGAGACGCTGCCTACTAGCTTCAGCTTTAGTTATATCATCGTTCCGTCCCACATTTTCGATTCCCAAATGTCCGGGTAGTTATGGGGTAAGTAACTTGCCCCTCTCTGGCGATGCTCACTTTTGTCTGTTCCGGTGTTTCAGCTCACCTTCATCTTCCTCGCTTAACTCAGTGTGCTTCAAAGAAACTATATGTGTGGGCTGATTTTCATGCAGTTTCATGCCTACTCCGACAAAGTAGATTCACCTGTGGATTTTTGTAAGTCAAAATACCGTATTCATCCAGATCATCTCAAACCAAATAGCGTTTAGAATATCCCGGCTTTTACAGAATGCACCTGTAAGGTCGCAGGACGGAAATGGAAATAAATGCGCAATAAATGGGCGCCTTGTTTTCGCAAACGTCGCCACATATACTGGCCATTATCCTGGCTAGTTCGGATATGCTTTAACAAGGAACTTGTATGTTTTTGTTTGGGTGTCCTGCAGAAATTATTGCCTTATTTCTTACGGAGACATCTTTCTTCACGTGTGTTTTAACCGCAAACTATTCATTTAGCCAATGATTTCGTGTACGTCGTGGCCATGTTTAACATGTTGGAGTCGGTACTGAGATTTCCATAATCACAAACCCTCGAAGCTTCTAATAACATGTTAGCTCTCTATCCACCAGTCGTACTACGCTCATAGTTGTGTCATTAGAAAGTTTCAATAAGCCGGTTTACCCAACACCTGTCTCTTTCCCTCTCAACTGCAGGCGCTTGTGTGTTGACCACGAATCTGTGCGTCCTGATATTGTACTCCTTGGTAAGGCACTTTCTGGAGGAATGCTTCCGGTAAGTAAATGTCACAAGATACTGCTATGACCTCTGTGTCCTTTTCGACGTAGTATCACTACGGTGACAATGAAAAGCACCGCCTGGTCAATTTTTACTTAAACCAAGCGGTGACCATCAAGATTTTACCATCTGTGCTGGTCTACGACATTGGACGGTTACATTAGACGGCATTTAATATTCGTTTATCCTACTCTTCTAAGTGACTGAAGGTCGCAACACTAGTCACTCATTCCTTACACGAAGAATTAATTGTGGACAAGCCTTAGGTCTAGGCTTGGGATTACCGAATCATCATCATCATCAACGACAGCATGACATCAGTGCTCAACACCAATGCTTCACTGCCGTACAGCCATGACTTATTTGAAAGCCTTATTGTAAAGAAAAGAATAAAGGTGGATGGGGGAGGGACTTAGTGCTAGCTTAACACAATCATTCCGAGGTGCCTACACCTCCAGACATTCATTCAGGCAATCTGGACAGAAACTGACAACAAGAACGCCACTGACATCGGTTGGCAGCCATATCTTGTAGTGTCTCCAACCGAATACGGTAATTCCAACAGTCGTAGCAACCGGTAAGACATTCTCAGAGCGGTTACTTCTGAAGGTACAGGCTCCTATTCGGGGAGAACAACCAACTCCTTAGTTTAACGGGACAGCCGAATAACTCCTAAGTTATTTAAGATATCTTCTTGCTTTTTTATATTTAATTTCCTAAGTTCTTCTACTACGACTACTTGTCATTCCTGTGAGCTGTTTCGTTGGTCGTTCTCAGGATTCCTATCACGCAAGAAAGCTTGGCTACGGTAAAGTATTACAATCTACCGCATAACAAAAGATGAAACCTGGAAGCACTTTGTGTGGTGATGATAGCTTGCATCGTTGGGCTTCCAAACTAGCCCTGATTATCGAGATTCCGAAATTTATTCACGTCTGAATTACCAGGATGATGGTGACCATAGATTCTACTTGGCAGCTGGTCTGAAAGTGTGGTTAATAACTAAAGCCACAGCATATCCAATCATGATTTGCCCAAACTAGAACTCCGTAAGGCGAGCTGAGCTTGTGCAGTGCATTGTGAAGTTTGGAGGGAAGCTCGACAGCAGGATGGTCAGGCTTGCATTTATCGGTACGATTTAGTGCTCCCGGAACTGCATTGCTCAGCCGTACAGAAGAAGACCTTTCCAGTGGAGGAGTGGTGGTTAGAAATGCTTGAGAAATGAGTGGACTGAAACTAATTGTCGGCAGTAGTGGGACATTGGGGTGCCCAATATTATCATGAGCAAACAAAAGCACGAGATATTTGAACACATCCGTGCAGTATTTCATGCCTCTTGCCTCAGCAAGAAAAGGTTTTGTGAATGTCTTCGTTTGACCAATATGTGTTCTTCACCTCCAGTCCACCGAGACCTTGCAATTGCGCGTAGTTCAGTAGGTCTTCAACTCGACAACTACCCTTCAAGGGGATACCAAATTGCCAATTAACTCACCGTTTACCACTGTGTGAATAAAGAAATATGTAAAAAAAAATAGAGGTGGAATAGCCGGATAAGATTGATAAACTATCCCCTGTATTATTATATGGTCCAAGAATATTGTGGCCTAGCTTTTTTCTCTGTTGGTTTGCGCCCCATGATCGAAAGAATATTCCGTTTAATCCTCAGGTTGATTTATATTAAGATGTGCCATCTTCTGTCCATACTTCCTTCACTTATACCTGCAGGCAGCTAACTTACAGAGAGAATGTGGGTGATTGAGTGTATGATATGGTAAAGATTGCAAGAAAAAACAGTTTGGAACAATAAGGATCAATTGAAGGGTACTTTTTTGATATCCCATTATCGGAACCTTGGTAAAACCTTGGACGGTAGAAGTGGAACCCCCTACGATCTCGTAGATTTATGACTGCATATGTTCTCTCAGGTGTCATCGAGCCTCTAGTACGGATGACCTACCACCCACATTGTTCAAAGAAGGGCAGAAGGCCTCAGTCACCGCTTGTCTGATCTGTTTGACTGCATTTGGTAAAAGGAGAATGTCCCAGACAACTGAAGGGGGTCAGTGATAGTGCCCATCTTCAAAAAGGGGTTCGTAATAAATAAGATCAGCTTAACCACTGCTGCAACAAGACTGCTGGAATCATTTGTGCTTCGTCACCTTATGGTAGCTCGTGAAAATGACTCGAGAGCAGCAAGCGGGCAGAGGTTACGTAGACCGAATCTTTACACTCCAATAGGTGCTAGATCAAATGACCCACAGTCTTTGTATCCCTGTGTTTCCAAGGCGTATTCGACTCGGCTGACCGATCTGTTCCCCTTGACACGCTTGCCCATCAAGGAGTGCTCGAGAAATTTCTTAAAATGATAAGTTTTTTGTATTATGAGACATCTGGACGTATGGAAGGATATGGACAACTCTCCAAAAGCTTCCGTACACAAAGCGGCGTCCTTCAGGAGTGTCCACTCTCTCCATTACTTTTTCACTTCGTGATCGATGAGGTAATGAAATGAATCCTGGAAGGTCTCGAAACCCCAGGCGTTCAAGTAGCCTGTGACAAAAACCTTATCGATCTGGAATATGTAGACGACATCGTTCGAAGATGAGAAAAGGGCGCAAGTGTTTTTGGATGAACTGACTAAAATCATCCCCTCCACTGGATGGACCCACCAATGTAAGTTTATACTCGTGGACATGCAGTCATCAGACATGCCACTCACAATCCAGGGACACGGAGCGTCTTACGGAGCGTCTTTGAAGTTGTATTGTTTCTGATTGTCGTGTTAGAGATAAGATCAATGCACAAATCCACTAGGCTCGAGTCGCGTTTACTAATTTGAAACATCCAGTTCGTCAAGGTGACGTATCCCTGAATCTCATGGGATCTAGGGCTGCGGTGCGGGCTGTTCTGTTGTATGGCTGTTGGACTTCGACTGTTCAAGTGGCGGAACAGAGACTTTTTTTAGGTTTTCGACATCTACTGTCTCAGGACCATAGCTCGTGTGGGTTGGTATCTGCGGATACCCAACGAGGCAATTAGAATGCAAGTATTCGGTTATGTAGCATTGAAAAATGTGGCCGGCACCCAGGAGCTGCGTTGTTTTGCCCATGTATTTCGTATAACGAGACATCGTCTGCTGAACGGAATACTGCATTCCATGCACAATTTAGAGTGGTGGGAGCCAATGATGGTCAACCCTATTCACATTGCCTGGATGGAGATGTAGGCACTTCGGAATGGTTGTAGTAAGCCAACACCAGGTCATTTTTCCAACAACCTTTATTCTTTTCTTCACAAAAAAGCTTTCAAATAAATTGTGGTTGTATGGCAGTGAAGCCCCCCTGTTGAACACTGATGTCATGCTGTCTATGACGATGATGATGGCGATGACGATGATGATGATGATGAGTATGATGATGATGATAACATGGTCAACTTGGTAAAATTCAAGACACTGTCAGTCAGAATAAAATTCATTGGCGAAATTGCAACTCGCTTTTTGTTATCACAGGGTGAGACAAGCGATCCCATCACTTGTCTAATGGTCCTTATCGTCTGTATCTGCATTTTTTAGACAAAAGGATCTTGTTCATGGATCCTTATGATAATGACTTTGAAAGCGGGCAGAATCTTTGTTTTGATAAACGTCGACATGTTAGTCGGTACCTGGTAAAAACTGCTGCACTGTTGACCGAAACGAAACTTCCAAAGGTACGCTGTTGTCCTTTTTGGAAGCTGGGTGGGAGATTTTCAGGGTTCGTTTGGACAGACTTTTTGTTGTTAGGCCAATGTAACTGCCTTCTCGTACTTCAGGTAACTCGGAAGAAAGGAAGATTCACACGACAAGTGAATTTTACATGCGAGTAGTTATCACTCGAGGAGCACCTCAACGCATGAAGAGGTGATGTGAATTTCGTGGGCGAATAGTTCCCCATTCTATCCAAATACGATTTAGTCACTGCTGGTTATCCGGTCGTCCCGGAAAGATCTTTTTTCAATCAATAATCCGGAGTTAACAAGTTCGAATCCTCCCGGAGATTCATCAGGTTCTCAAGTCTGATGACTTCTAGTAAGAGTGGAATAGGTGTGCAATGATTTTGGGCCTTTTGTCATAGATTGAAATCAGTTACTTTGAACACCCTGCCATCTCCTCATACCACCATCAAAGCGTAGCACGTGATTTACGTTGTATATTTTCCAGCCAGGGAACGCTTAGGGAAGCCCCTTTGTTATCCTTCATATGTGTTCTCTCAGGAGAGTGCTGCTGTGCAACTCTGCGGTTGGGAATGGTTATTAACCGTGGAAAAATGAGGTACCCGTTTCTGACGGAAAGCTAGAAGCTGCTGCTTTTCAATGAACTCCCTTGGAAGGAGCGGTTTCGATTTTCGAAAGTGCTCAGTCTTTGAAGGAGTAATTTCAGCCACATAGCAGCTTGGTAGCTTAAAAAACGGAACAGAGCACCAATCGCGGTCATCTTCGAATCCAATACAATCGCGAAATTCTAACATAAAATGCCATATAAGGTAAATTTTTACTTTCACTGGCGTGGTGCACTTCTGCATACACAATTAAGACGAGTGACCTTGTGCCTTGTTTATTAATTGTTGTCAAAGCAGCGCTAACCTAAACACACGGAACTGCAATGAATACCGGTGTTTGTAGAAACCACTTTAGTGACACGGTTAGACTTTCATGGTTGTCCATAATGAGTGGTGGTTTCATCAACATTCGATCTAATATACAAGCGCATGTTGGTGGACGAATTGTTCGGTAAATATGCCGACCCCACCTACCGACACAGTCTGCAGCTCCTCCACGCAAATCATATTATTTTGGTTAGGCAGAAATGCTTGCATCAAAATTCTCAAGCTTAGACAACCTCCAAAGGAACCCTCCGGCCATGAAAATTCTGTCCTGTATCAAACAAATGCATGCATGAAATGACCACATACATTGTCCGCCACATATACACAATCTTCTGCACAGATGCGATCAAG